AACTGAGGTTTGGGGAAAGGGAGGTGGGTGTGGTGATGGGGTTGCTGGGTGATAGGCATTAAGGAGGGCATGTGATGTGATGAGAACTGGGAGTTATATGCAACTAATGAATCATTGAACATTACATTTGAAACTAATTATGTACTATATGTTGACTAATTGAATTTAGATTTTTTTTTTATTTATTTGAGACAGAGAGAATGAGAGAGAGAGAGCACATGAGAGGGGGGAGGGTCAGAGGGAGAAGCAGGCTCCTTGCTGAGCAGGGAGCCTGATGTGGGACTCGATCCAGGGACTCCAGGATCATGACCTGAGCCGAAGGCAGTCGCTTAACCAACTGAGCCACCCAGGCGCTCCGACTAATTGAATTTAAATGAAAAAAGATAAAAAGCTTCTGCACAGTGAAGGAAACAATCAACAAAACTAAAAGGCAGCCTACTGAATGGAAGATATTTGCAAATGGCATATCTGATAATAAAAGGTTAGTATCCAAAAACTATAAAAAACTTATCAAACTCAACACCCGAAAAATAAATAATCCAGTGAAGAAATGGGTAGAAAACATGAATAGACATTTTTTTCCAAAGAAGACATCCAGATGGCTAACAGACACATGAAAAGATGCTCAACATTGCTCATCCTCAGGGAAATACAAATCAAAACTACAATGATATATCACCTCACACTAAAATTGCTAAAATTAACAACAGATGAAACAACAAATGTTGGTGAGGATGGGAAAAAGGGGGGAACCCTCTTACACTGTTGGTGGGAATGTATACTGCTAGAAATTTATCAGTTGTAGCATAATAGTACTAAATTTTGGCTGTTTTGGTTTACTTTAATGTTTTATATTGTATCTATTTCTGATCTTTTCATTACCTCTTTTTTTTTTTACTTTGACATTAATTTAATCCTCTTTGTCTACTTAAGATAAAAGCTTAGCTCTTTTAGAGCTTTATTTTTAACATGAGCATAAAGCTATGCATACATTTATGTAAGTTGAAAACAAGTAACTTTTGTGTGGCTTAGCACATAAGAAAGATCTTCAGCTAGTTCATACAGGTATTTGACTCTTTATCTATGATCCTTATGACCTAGAAGATACAATATACAACCAAACATGTGGAGATGAACATGCTCAATGGAGCCCATCATAAGCCATGGGAAAATGAATAAGAGTGGAAGCCTTCAGAGACTTGATGTAGAAACAGGCTCTTGTTGGAAAATAATTTGTTTCTTGCAGAAACAGTCATCCAATTGATACTGGACTGAAAATTAAGGGACTGAATTAATGAACTGAAAATCATTATGGTGTCAGTTGACATAGATTCAGGCCTTGATCAACAACATCCACTCCCACACAGAACTACAGAACTGTGACTACCTATCTTTTTATGAATTGCAACTTCAACCTCAGTAACTTCTCTCATCCTAAGGTCTTCTGCTTCTGAACCTCAGGGTCTCTTGTGTAGAGGTGCTAACAGCTAGAGATAGGACTTCCTTGGCTGAGGACATGATTGGATAAGTGAACCTGAGACTGGTTTTCCTTTTACTTTGGCTTAAATATGACTTGCCTTACCCAAATGCTTTCTTATATGAAACTCACAATTTATTATTTAACATTTTTTTTTTCTGTTCAAATTAGAGGCTTTTCACGTATTTGGCTGTCTGCCACTCTTTCTTGGCAAGAGCCTAGTCTTTTTTTTCTCTAGTCATTGTTCTAGGGGAGAACACTGTCCAGAGGAGGTTACTTTATTCGAATTTGTTCCAAATATTCTCATAAGCTAATCCGTAATGGCCTTACATTCTCTTTTATTGAAAACAGTAGTGATGTAGAAAGCCATAGGCTGTGTCTGCACGTATAAGTGGAAAGATTATTTTCCTGATATAATGGCCCAAGAGATTTCTGAGAATTCAAATATCTTCCAGGCTGGAGTTTCTCTTAATCCCCTAGATGTTTCCTTGGTATATTTTCCTGTGTGACATCCTTCATTGCTTGTACAAACATGTGGAAGTGTCCAATTCTCTGGGATAAAGCTGGGGAAAGGTAGAAACATGCCTTCTATTTGGGAAGAAGTGGCCTTAGGGATATATTTTGAATGGATGAACAGGTAAAGAGTTCTCCTAATACCTGAAAGATTGCTCAGTCATTGGTTTTCCCAGTAGTTAAATTTCAGCATTTGTCTTTTTAGGCAAAGAGACAGATTAATATCCAGGGACACAATTGCTATCCTAATGATATAAGTAAAGGACTTTTTGGTTGCCTAATTGTGCTGACCAAGAAGAGATACATTCAAATAACTAATTTGAGATTTAAAAAAAATTGGGACAAATAATAGGCTTGGCCAAGTTAATTTCTACTAATTAGGCTAGTTCTTACACAGTCATCTGAAGAAACTATACTTACTTTATATAATTGTCTCTATATTTACTGTGTGACTCTATGAGAAATAAGGTCCATATGGGAAGGAACTTTCAGGTGATTTTCTCCCCTGTTTTCTTAATTGTTGTGTCCTCCCTCATACCATGGTTCCTGGCATTAAATAGGTGCTCTAATATAAAACAATAATTAATAATTGAATAGTTAGGTAAATAAATATTTAATATATCTGTTCACACTTCAAGGCTGACAATAAAATGTTAAATGAAATGAAAGGAAAACTTGCTATGGCAAGTGGGGAAATACATGATAAATTAATCTTCACTGGAATAAAATGCTTTCAGTGGTATTTTCTTCTTGACTGGTAATAGTCTCATAATTGTTCCAAAGTGATTTTTTCCCTTCATGTTACATCCTTTAGACCTTAAAAATGTGATTTGGTCTAGCATTGCTAGTACCTATAGATATTAAAGAAATTTTTTTTGGACAATCCCAGTGAATTTAATTAAGCAAGAATCAGTCTTGGACACTTTCCAATTCTGACTTAATAACATATGGTGGTCAGAAGGGACGAAACGTCTTGTGATCTCTGCCCTATTGGGAAGAAGATACTATCCTTTTAAGAGCTGATAAATTTTTAGGAGGTCTTTGCTAGGCTGAAAGCATACCCCCCCCCCAAAAAAAAGCACAAGAACGTCTCTCCTCAAAATTTGAACTCAACTGGTGTGGTCATACGAACATGATAGAATGAGAAGACTAACCAAGTATAATGTTATTTTTCTATTTTGAAGTTAGTAGGAAAAAAGTTACCCAAGAACAATCTCCTTGGAAATGGCTAGTTGCTATCTTCTTATGTAAAATTATGTTGCTTGTCTTTTAGAGAAATTATCCTAAGGTAGTAATGTTTTATTTTCTGTGTGGACCATGGAATTCCTTTTACATAATCTACAATGCAAATAAAAGCAATCTCCTAAAAAAATCAAGGAACCCCATTAGGAAAATGGACTGACAGCCAAATGAAATAAAATATACCATCAGGTAATAATGCAGCTTTTGCTTTCTCTTGTCATACTGGATGAAAGAAAAATTCCAGTCCCAGGAATGAGTAAAAAGTCTTTCTTCAGCTTGTGGACTTACCATCACAAGATAAGACTAACAGTAAATATTGGGATCCAGGCTTCTAAAGTGTGTGAATTTTTTTATTGTGTGAAAATTAAATTACTTTGAAATAAAGCAAACTTAGATTCCCATTCCAGTTTAATAACTTAAAAATGGGTGACCTTGGGAAAATGAATTAGATGTTCTAGCCTCAGTTTGTTCAAATATGAAATGGGGATGACAGTTCTTCGTACTATAAATATGAAATGTGATTCATTGAGTTGTGAGTGTGTGATTGGAATCCACTGTAGGCATTGTGAACAGTGGAGTGATAGATCAGAATCATATTTATAAACAGATCATTTGAGCTGCCTCATGAGAACAAATTGATGGTAGCCGGAATGAAAAGGGAGAGATGTGGCAGGAGGCTAGTGTAGTGGGCTGGAGAAGTGGTGGTGGGAGGAAAATGATCAAGTTTGTGATCTATTTTAAAAGGGGTTAATAAGATTTGTTAAAGGTATCACTGTGTGATATGAGAGCAAGAAAGGCATGGTGGTATTTCTTGTCTGAGTAATGACTTGGAAGGTAGCACCATTTAGTAAGATGGAAAACACCTACATTTGTTGCTGAAAATTAAAAATGTAGTTTTATAAGTTCTGAATTAATATCCAATTGGAGATGTTCAGAGTTGGAGATGTTGCATATATTAAGTTTAAATATTAAGGGAGAGACTCAACATTGGAATGGTTCCACATTTATTGGTCAGGAAAAGGGGGCATATCCAGCCAGAGATCCTAAGAAAGAAGTCTCGGTGAGGGAATAGACAATCCAGGGCAGTGACTTTCCATTCCTACTTTGATTCAGTAGGTTTGAAAATGTCAATTACCTGTAATTAGTCTCAAATATTTCACTTTTGTGACTTTATTTATTTTTATTTATTTATTTTTAAATATTTTACTTATTTTTGTAGTATTTTATTTATTTTTGTGAGAGAGAGAGAGCATGAGTGGGGGAAGGGGCAGAGGGAGAAGCAGACTTCCCGCTGAGCAGGGAGCCCAGTGTGGGACTCGATCCCAGGACCTTGGGATCTCACCCAAGCCTAAGGCAGACGCTTAACCGACTGAGCCACCCAGACACCCACTTTTGTGACTTTATAAATTGTGTACCTTTTCATGGAATTCCCTTGCCCTCTTTTCTTGTCCTTCCACTTTTTCTTTAAAACTCAGTGAAAGCATTGCTTTCTCCAGGAAGCCTTCTCTGATTGCTATTTGTTTGACATATTCCTATCCCTGACCTTCACATTGTGCAACTTTTTATAAAGACACATTAGTTTACATTGGTGATTATTATGTATGCGGTCACTGAGTGTAGCTTATTCAACTTGGGAATCACAACGTCTGTGACAAACAGGAACTCCTGCTACATTCTTTAAGTGAATGAGTCAATAAAAGATTAATCTTATAATGCATTTAAAAGTTTCCCCTCTTGTTTTGTAGGAAACCTGCTTCTAATATGTGAAGTCAGCTCCTATGCAGACTAGATAGAACCAAGAAACAATGTAACTTTGTCCTCTTGGGCCTCACCCAGGATCCAAAGAAACAGAAGATCCTTTTTGTTATGTTCTTACTCCTTTATATTTTCACTGTGGTGGGCAATTTGCTCATGGTGGTGTCTGTAACTGTCAGTAAGACCCTGGGCTCACCTATGTACTTTTTTCTTGGTAACTTATCATGTATGGATGTCATTTATTCCTCTTCTATTTTCCCCAGGTTGATTTCAGACTTCTTGTTTGGGGAAAATACCATATCCTTCCAATCTTGTATGACCCAGCTATTTACAGAGCACCTTTTTGGTGGAACAAAGGTCTTTCTTCTGCTGGTGATGGCCTATGACCACTATGTGGCCATCTGTAAGCCCTTGCATTATCTGGTGATCATGAGGCAGTGGGTATGTGTTGTGCTGCTGGCAATGTCCTGGGTTGGAGGTTTTCTCCATTCAGTAATTCAAGTTAGTACTATTTATGGGCTCCCATTCTGTGGTCCCAATGTCACTGATCATTTTTTCTGTGACATGTACCCCGTATTGAAACTGGTCTGTACTGACACATATGTTGTTGGCCTGTTAGTGGTGGCCAATAGGGGGATGTTCTGCAGTATCGTGTTTGTGTTCTTGCTCACCTCTTATGGTGTCATCTTGCACTCTCTAAAGAACCTTAGTCCAGAAGGGAGGCGGAAAGCCCTCCAGACCTGTGGTTCCCACATCACTGTGGTGGTCTTCTTCTTTGTTCCATGTGTCTTCATGTATGCAAGACCTGCTAAGACCTTTACCATTGACAAATAATTGACTGTTTTATACAGTCATAACCCCCATGTTGAACGCACTGACCTACACTCTGAGAAATTCTGAGGTGATAAATGCCATGAAGAAGCTCTGGAGAAGAAATGTCATATCAAGTAGTAAATAAGTGCATCATGAAGAAATAATTTAGAATTAGAGCCAATCTCCTCAAATGGTAAAGTCCATTTTAATATAAATGCATTTTCAGTAGGAGTCAATAAATAATTTGTAATGTAGTAGTAATGAAAGTTTTATGGCTACCCAGATTGTTATTTATTTTTGTTTTTTTATTCAGATAAATTAACATACAGTGTTAGATGAGTATCAGATACACAATAGCATGCTTTAATAGTTCTATGCACAGTGCTCATCATGATGAATATAGTCTTAATCCCCCTATGTAATGAGGTTGTCAATGGAATTTTTATAGTTACACTAATTTTTAACTAATTGTTTTTATTACTTTTATTCTCATTCTTATTTTTAGTTGGATTCCTTTTTTTTAACATGCAGTGTTTTATTAGCTTCATGTGTGCAATAAATTCCATTCATCACCCATTGCTCATAATGACAAGTTCACTCCTTAATCCCCATCACCTGTTTAACCCACCCCCTTCACTGGTAACCATCCATTTGTTCTCTATGATTCTGTTCCTTGATTTCTCTCTCTGTCTTTCCCCTTTGCTTGTTGATTTTGTTTCTTAAACTCCACAGAGGAGTGACATCATATGGTATTTGTCTTTCTCTGACTGACTTATTTTGCTTGGCACTATACTCACTAGCTCCATGAATGTCAAGATTTCACCATACCCCTTCTTTATCCATTCATTAATTGATGGACACTTGGGAGCTTCCATAATCTGGCTATTGTAAAGAAAGCTGCTACAAATGTCGGGATGTGTATATCCTTTTTAAATTAGTGTTTTTGTATTCTTTGGGTAAATACCTAGTAGTGCTATTGTTAGATTGTTGGCTAGTTTTACTTTTGAGTTTTTGAGGGACCTCTGTACTGTTTCCTAGATGGCTGTAGCAGTTTGCATTCCCAGCAACAGTACATGAGTCTTCCTATTTCTTACATTCTCACCAACATCTGTTTCTTGTGTTGTTGATTTTAGCCATTCCGACCAGGTGTGAGGTGATATCTCATTGTAGTTTTGACTTGCATTTCCCTGAGTAAGTGATGATGAACATGTTTTCATGCTGGCCATCTGTATGTCTTTTTGGAGAAATGTACATTCATGTAGTCTGCCCATTTTAAAACTGGATTATTTGTTTTTTGGGTGTTGAGTTTTATAAGTTCTTTATATATTTTGGATACTAGCCCTTTAGATTCCTGTGTTTTATCTTTGTTCTTTTTATTGCACTAGTTAACATACTGAATGCTATGTAGACTATCATCTTTATTCTATTTTGTTTGCATTGCATATGAAATTCTTAGTGTATTTTACTTTTTAAAATAAAAATGAAAGTATAATAGGTTGTAATAAATATTAAAAATGGAATCCATACAAAGTGAGAAATATTGAATAAACCTTTACCCATCTCTCACCATTGTCCCTATTCTTCTTCCATATGTAGTTATTGTGTTAAGATTGTGTTGTTTCTAAGATTGTTCAATTAGTAATCTTTGCTAATAAAATATATGTGTTGTGTTTATGTCTCTGTGTATAACTTTTGCATTTACTACTCAGCCTCCTGGAGATCTCTCCATGCTAGTCTATATAGATATAACTCATTCTCAGCTTCCTCAAAGTGCTTAAATCTCTTTATGAAGATACAGCAAAATTCATATTTCCAGTCCATGTCATGTTTTCCCCAATTTTATTTTTTGTGACCATTAACTCTACAATAAAGTCCTTTTGAAATTTTGTAAGTATGAGTTTTTAGAAGTGGAATTGTTGGATCAAATTGTACATGTATTTAAATGTTGTTGTTTGTAGTTATTGCCCAAATATCATCCATGAGTTTGTACGAAACTACACTACTTCTCTCAGTCTAGAAAATACCTATTTGTGCAAATTCTCAACCCTCAGTTCTTGACAAACATTTATAGGATTTGAGAACATGAGATTACTTAAAGAAATTGTGTTTCATTTGCTTACTTTAATTGAAACTCAATAAATGTAATTGAATTTGAGCATCTATTCACACTTAAAATGATTTCTATTCTTTTTTTGGTGAATTTCCCATTGATGACTTTTACCTGTTTTAGTGTATTACTGTTCTTTTCCATAGTGATTATTATGGTTTAATAATACACTAAGGAAATTATCCCCTTTACCATTTATGTGTAATTACTATTTTTTCCAGCTTGTGATTTATTTTTGATGTTTTATAGTGTGCAGAGTATCTTTAAGTCTTTAAGTAGTCACATTTATAAGCATCTGTATTTCTTTATTATTCTTTTAAAGTCTGTAGGCTTGTATTATGTCCTCTTTTCCATTTCTGATATTTGTAATTTTGTGTGTTCTACTTTTCTAGATCAGTCTGGCTAGGAGTTTATCAGCTTTCTTGATTTTTTTCAAAGAATCAGCTCTTCATCGCATTTGTTTTTCTTTATCCTTTTTGTGTTCTAATTTCTATTGATTTATGTTTTACTTTCATTTTAACTATTTACTTGAATTTAATTTGTTCTTCCCTTCTCCCCAAATTTTTTAGATATGTACTTAGATAATTGATTTGAAGTGTTTCTTCTTTTCTTTTTTTTTTTTTTTTAAAGATTTTATTTATTTATTTGAGACAGAGAGAATGAGAGGGAGGAGGGTCAGAGGGAGAAGCAAACTCCCTGCCGAGCAGGGAGCCCAATGCGGGACTCGATCCCGGGACTCCAGGATCATGAACTGAGCCGAAGGCAGTCGCTTAACCAACTGAGCCACCCAGGCGCCCCTGTTTCTTCTTTTCTAATGTATGCATTTAATGCTAATTTACATGTACTCATTGTGCAATGGCAATTTATGTGGAAGGATGGTTTTAGCTGCATTCCACAAAATTTGAAATGTTTTTCTTTCATGTTTTAATTAATTTAAAGTATATTTTGAATTTCACTTGTGACTTCTTTTTTGGCCCCTGAGTTAATTATCTGCTTAATTTCTAAATATTTGATTTTTTTTCATGATAGTTTTCTGTTTTTGCTTTTAGTTCAATTCCATTAATATCTAAGTCTGTAAGACTTGAATACTTTTGAATTTGTTAAAGTTTGATTGCTTATTTATTTGTTTATGTATTTATATGTTTAATCATTATAAAGTATTTTTAATGGTCCAGAACATAGTTTATCTTAGGGAAGGTTCTGTGATCACTTGATAAAAGCTGTGTATTCTTTTGGTCATTTAATTTCCAAATATTCAGGAGATATTATAGAATTTTTTTTGGGTACTGATTTGAATTTAATTTCTTTTTTGCTAAGGAATATGGCATGCATGATAACAATTCTTAAGAATTCTTGTTTGTTTTTTTGTTTGTTTTTTATTTTTTATTTTGTTTTTGTTTTTTTTGGTCCTGATATGGTTTATCTTCTGAATGGTGCATATTACATATGTATTCGGAGAGAATGTGTATTATGTTGTTTTGTCATGAAAGACAAGTTGGTTAATAGTGCTTTTCATTGCCATCTATTTCCTTCCTGATTCTCTGGGTTCTTGGTAAATTGACTCCTTTATCATTATGTTTTGGAGCCCTTTATTCCTGTTCATATTTAGTTTTCTTTAGTCTGCTTTATCAGTATATTCACTCCAGTTTAGTTTTGATCAGGGTTTGCATGGGATATTGTTGTCCATCCTTTCACTTGGCATAGATATGTCTTTACATTTAAAATCATTTTTTCTTTTTGTAGACAGCAAGCATATTGTGGTGTCTTGCTTTCTTACCCAATATGAACAGTCTTTATCTTTTACTTGTAGTATGAACCATTTATATTTAATAGAATTATTAATCTCATTTTCTCAAAGTGGTCTTTTTACAGTTTGTAGTTTGTATCACCATATTCAAAATTCCAGACAATACATTTGTTTGGTATTTTCTTAGGTCATTTTATTTTGTAAATAATATTTGAGGTATTTTATTTTGTATTCATCTCTCTCATTTTAATCTATTTGAATGACTTAGTTTCTTTTTTATCCCCAAATTGTTAATTTAATGGCCATTTTAAAACTATTGCTTTGTACAATGGTAGAAACATTCGATTGGCAACAGACCTATCCACAGAGACCTGGCAGGCCAGAAAGGACTGGAATGATATATTCAGAGCACTAAATGAGAAAAATATGCAGCCAAGAATACTCTATCCAGCTAGGCTGTCATTGAAAATAGAAGGAGAGATAAAAAGCTTCCAGGACAAACAAAAACTAAAGGAATTTGCAAACACAAAATCAGCCCTACAAGAAATATTGAAAGGGGTCCTCTAAACAAAGAGAGAGCCTAAATGTAACATAGACCAGAGAGGAACACAGACAATATACAGTAACAGTCACCTTACAGGCAATACAATGGCACTAAATTCCTATCTTTCAATAGTGACCCTGAATGTAAATGGGCTACATGCCCCAATCAAAAGACACAGGCTATCAGATTGGATAAAAAAAAACAAGACCCATCGATATGCTGTCTGCAAGAGACTCATTTTAGACCCAAAGACACCCCCAGATTGAAAGTGAGGGGGTGGAAAAATATTTACCATACTAATGGACACCAAAAGAAAGTTGGGGTGGCAATCCTTATATCAGACAAATCAGTTAAACCAAAGACTATAATAAGAGATGAAGGACACTATATCCTACTTAAAGGGTCTATCCAACAAGAAGATCTAACAATTGTAAATATCTATGCCCCTAACATGGGAGCAGCCAATTATATAAGCCAATTAATAACAAAAGCAAAGAAACACATCGACAACAATACAATAATAGTAGGGGAATTTAACACCCCCCTCACTGAAATGGACAGATCATCTAAGCAAAAGATCAACAAGGAAATAAAGACTTTAAATGACACACTGGACCAAATGG